AAAGAAACTATTTTCTTCTTGCTATACCTACAACTGTACACAATTTTCATAATGAATTTCGGGAACGGGTCCATCTGGTTCCAACGCTGATTTAAACCGGGTCTGACCGGTTCCAGAAATGTGCCAGTCAGACCGGGTCCGGGTCCGGGTCCCAAAATTTTCCAGTTTTGCCACCTCTACTCCAGAAGAGATGGCAAGCCGACAGTCTGCAGGGCACGCTTAATCACGTCATTGAGCGCGGTGCGGCGGGGATGACGTCCCGCGCTCAGACGGCAGGTCAGCGCATGGTGTCCCAAACTGTCGGCCAGGGAGCCACGACACCTATGTGGCTGGCAGACTTCAGCTCCGACGCGCAAAGCAACGGCGACTCTAAGGGTGGGAGGGTCCAGCAGCGTGCCCAGGCTGGCTGAGGGCAGGGCGTGCAACCATGCTCCGCTCTCCACCGTCCCTGCTGCGAAAAGACGGGCTTGCTCTACCTGGGTAGCGGTGGCCAGTAGGCTGCTTCGCACTTTGTCGGCTAGTACGGTGTCCCATGCACGCTGACTTCGTGCAGCGTCACCTGTTGGAGGTTCCGCTGGCTCAGCCGCCATCCTCCAGTCCGTCAAGGTAACTTCTTGTTCCGCCGACAGTCTGGCGCGTAGCGATCCGGGCAGCATCGACATCAGCAGCTGCATACAATGGTGAAGGGATGCTACGTAGCTTGGAAGTGCAAGGTCTTGCGTGCGTCTGATGCCTAGTCCGCCATATCTAGTCGGCAAAACTGCCTGTGTCCAGCTGTCCTGGCTAAAGGCGACGTTAGTAATGCTACAAACTGCAGCGCGGAGCGTCTCGTCCAGAGGTTGCAGGAGATCTTGTCGCCTGTATACAGGGGCTGCTCGAAGGATATACTGGAGTTTCGGGATCCACAGACAATTTCTCAGAAGATAGAAGGCCGAGTGCGCATCTATGTGCTGTAGCCGGTCCACCATCCGCTCCAGGTCATTTTTCTTCTCCGCCATTACTTTCTCGGCAGCCGCATCCATCATTGGCGCTCCAAGCATCCTGGCTTCAATGTCTTTTACTAAGGCAGCCCCACGGATAAATGTGTGCAGGCGCTCTATAATAGACCGCGTTTGGTGCTCACTACAGCACCGTGGCAGGATGATCTCGCATTTTGTAGGGTTGACAACAAGTCCTCTAGCTGATAGTGCTGGAATCAACCGTTCTAGGTCACGGCAGACGGTATCGATGTCCCCACCGATAGATCCATCGTCTAAATACCACATATTGAAGGCCGATTTCACTTCTCTGGCTGCAGTGTCAATAGCTAACGAGAAGACTGCTGGACCGCAGGGATCTCCTTGCTGGAGGCCAGTAGCAGACGGAATCTTAAACGTGCCAAAAAACAGTGAGGTCGGTTCCGAGTAAGCTCGCCATAGTAAACGATACAGCCCAGGCGCCAGTTCCCGTACGTCTCGGAGAAAACAGTCGCGTCGGATGGTATTAGCATTCTTCATGTCAATCTTAACAAAAACCTCTTCTCCGCTCATGCACTCCATGAACCGCCGGGAAGCATGGACGGCCGCCTCACACCCACCTGGAGTGCCGTAATACCTTCGTATTACGAAGGTATAAGGGCAGAATACCTTCGTAAGACCACAAAGTGTGTTCCAATTCACTTTTTTGCATATGTTATGATTTCTGGCTGATTTGTAGCGATTTTCGCTGTCTTTCCGTTAGTTTTGGCATATTTTTCAGGTTAGGGGCCCCAAATTCTAAAATTTTGTGTAAGATAATGGTCCAAAGTGTAGACTGGTGTTTTGTAGCTAACCCTGATATGTCGTTTAGCTCGTTTTTGGGTAGCTGGGTGACGCTTGTTGTCCATGGCATGGCAACAACTCGCTTGACGACTGGTGCGTGCTCCTTTTTGGTCGCACCCAGGCTTGTCGATCAGGCTATCTCTTGCTCTCTCTGGCTTCGCTCGCTGATATAACTGCGCTTTGCACACTCCTAGCTGTTTGCAGATGAGCTGCTGGAGCTCTCCAGCAAGAACCATGCCGAAAGTCCGTTTACGAAGTTGAGAACGGCACTTGATTTACCATGATTGCCTTTTGGCAGCTAAGGCTAAAAACGGAAAGGGACTACTCTTTGCTGACTGGATAATAGTTGACTTGAGTCGTGACCGTCCACCAAAATCACACAGTCTCCAAGCTCGATAGCTAAGGGATGTCATATACAAGTTAATGCTCGTATCTAATTAGAATCGAGCGCAATTGTACTTTTAGCCAGAAAATAAATGTTCGGTCAAATCCGGGACACCCTGTACAGCGAACTACAAATGAAGGTACATAGGTACAAAATAATGATATAATGGAGGGAAGAGAGCGCCACTCTCCCAGCGCGGACGTGTGTTGATTGCTCCGCCATTTATAGCTTTTTTATTGGGACATCCATTGAATATTCTGATCAGTGCATACCGAGACATTCTTCAGACTCTGCTCACCTCTGAGCATTTAATTGCTTGGTTTAACACTGAACATTCCCCACAACAGACGTTTTAGAGTCGGGCTGTGGATGAGGGTGTACCCGCGCGACACCATGGCGCCGGGGCCCTCTGACGGAGACCTCACCGGGCGCCGAGCTGGATGGAGGTCGGGGGCCGCGCAGGCGCAGTGATTAGTGGCCGAGCGGTCGGCGACCTGGGCTAGCTGGAGCGCCGCAGCAACTGCGGGAGCCGGGCTGGCGGGGTTCGTATCTCGGCAGCCGCCGTCGCTTTTTTTCATCTGCGGCGTCTGCCTGCTCGCCAGCGAACGCTCTGCCATCTATCTCCCTGCCCCGGCTGCCCGCCTCGGTCTCTGGACGACTACCCGTCTGAGAGCTGGACGAATTTCTCTTCGCCGCTTCCGGACCCGCCTCACATATGGCGCAAACACTTGTGCAACACGTCAGACCGTGCGATACAACTCCAGGCCTGCTGACACAGGAGCTCGCGTGTGTTGGCCTCACACGCGAGCTCCTAGGACCCCGTGCATATCCCAGGGGTCTACCTGCCTCTAAGATCCCACACATACTTTTGGGGCTCAAACGCTTACCCCTGAAGACCCCTTTCCTCTATTTAGTCCTCCATACTGGCTCTTTAGGCTAAACATCGGCTCCTGTGACCTCCATCCCGGCTTTGGAGGGCCTCCATACAGGCTTTTTTGGGGTCCAATGCCGGTTTCTGAGAGCCCTCAAAAGACTTTCGAGCCTAATACTGCCTTCTGAAACCTTTCAGCAGCTTTCAAGTGACCGACCTTGATCGGAGGGCTCATTCAGTCTGGGGAGTCATGTAGGTCTCTAGAGGAGTCTCTATGTATGTGGTCGGTTTCCAAGGGGCTTCTAAACACGGTCTTCCTGGAACGGTCTCGTAGGGCCCTCAATAGTCCACTGCGGATCCAGAAAAGTGGTTTGAGACGCTGCGGGTGGTGGCTAGACTAAAAGATTGGCCGATAAAAACTAGCTGCATTTGCTTCTTTATGCTCTCATTATTTGAGATAGGTATGTACCTACACTGCAAATTGCAATTTCAAACCTTTTACAGAACTTGTGTGTATGGGGATAGTTTTCTAAAATCTTCGTTTTTCATAAATCAATAATAATCACTCAAAAAATGAAGGGGGGCCCAAAACTTCCAGAGGGGCCCCTTGATAAAACTTTGCACCCCCATCCAAAATTACCTTCCGCCGCCACTGGCACTAAGTAGGTATAGCTTATAAGATTGGATAGGACTCAAAACATCCCCTGCAAATGAAGTCATGGAAATACCCCAGTAAGGCGTGGGTTATCTGACTTGAAGGCTGGAGCATCTATTGCTCCCACGTGATGGTTGTCTAACGCCATAAGGACTAGGGACCAAACCTGGTCGGACACGATTTGGTAGCCGAGTAATGACAGCCGGGCGTGAAGTCTTCCCTTCACCATTGGCTTTACACACAAAGTGGCCAAAGTTTGAGCCAGGATATCGTAGTCTGGACATGCAAAAAAGAAATATTATATTTTGATTTTTAGTATCAGACTTAGTGTTTCATGGTGTGGCTCAAAACTCCCATAATTTGGCCTCAAAGAAGGTACTACTAATTGCTCAAAATCGAAGTCGAAAAATGCTGTCTAATTGCTGCTTTAAGCAACATTCTTAATTTACTTTTATTATGTACTAATTTTGTTTATGTTTAACCCGCGCCGCGCTGGTGGACTGAGTTTTCCGTGTCGTGCTTGGGGGACGTTTTTACGCCCCCCCCCCCCCGTCTAACTCGCCTCCTGGGCCACGTAGCGACATGCGGTAGGTGGCAATCGAAAATACGTCCAAAATAAGGGCGGAAGTATTTCGGTCATTTTAAAGGTTAGGTCAAAGATCAGGTCACCAGAGGTCATCAAATGTTACATTTTGTCTATTTCCACAATTTTCGAAACATCTGACGGCTAACTCGGGAACTAATGGAGCTACAGCGCCGTGGAAGAATTCTTCCACGGCGCTGTAGCTCCATTAGTCAAATCTAATGGATGAATGCGTTAACGCATTCATTAGCCCTTTTACAGACCTTTCTGAGTTTCGTTCTCAGATTTGACCTCAGGTCAACGGTTTGGCCTCCAGAGGGACTTAACTCTAAAAATAGCCGTTTTCACGAAAAATGTTTTTTTTCGGAAATCTATGGGATAGGGGTGAAAACTCTGATATATTCGCAAATGGGTCGTTCATCACTGTAAAGCGCTTCTCTGTTAGTTCAAACAGTGAGCGGATAAAGGTTGTCCACGTCACCTGGCGTTGATTAGGCGCCGCCCGCATGCCACGCTCCACCACTGGAGACTACAACGCAAGACACACTCGATACGGACAAACTCTGAAGCGTCGCGCGCCATGAAGATATCATGCTACAAGGCTGAAATTTTCCTGACAGAGCGTTCTCACCAATAGGCATATCTGTTGGGACTTGGGTGGTGCACTATAGTCTGAACTATAGTCACCAGCGCCTGCCGTGGCTCACCAGTGTCTGGTCGGAGAAGCCCTTGTGTCGGATGATCCTGGCCACGCCGTACTCGTCGTGGTCTGCCTCGTCGTCCCGCTGGATGTCGTGGTCGCCCAGACGGACCACCAGTCTCCGCACGTCATAAGATGTCATACTGTATGAAACGAGCCAGCCGGGGTTAGTTTATGTGAAGTAGTCTGGGCCATAGGCAGTGGAACGGGGAGGGCACCGGGGCACCCTTTGAATTTGACATTTTAACACTAGCCCTATGGGCGTTGCATGGAAAGAATGGGACCAAAAGTCGGCAGTGCCCCCCCCCCCCCCTTAATTGAAGATGTTCCGCCGCCACTGGTCTGGGCTTCAGCTATCCAATGTTATACATAGGAAAGTAGACGGATATGAGTGTGCTCACTGTGCAAAAACACAAAATAACATTTCCGTACTATCGGGTTTGAACCAAAATCAACACCAGTACAAGCCCATAATAAAAGAGGAACCGTATTTTTTCTTAACCTACGCACCGATTTGGGGGATGGCGGATATCCGCCCCCTGAGGTTTACGTTAACCCGCGCCCGGCTGGGGGTCCTGGATTTCCACGCCCTGCTGGGGGGGGGGTGTTTGAACCCCCCCCCTTGTAACTCGGCTCCTGGGCCACGTAGCGATACGCGGGGTTCGAAAGACCGTCAAAAATAATGACGAAATCACTTCGGTCAATTTTTTGGTCAGGTCAAAGGTCAGGTCACCAGAGGTCATTGAAGGCAAAATTTCGCCGATTTCCAGGTCGAATGTCGAAAATTTCCAAGAAGCCAAAGCATAACTCGAGAACCAATAGAGCTACTCGGTCGTACAGCGCCGCGGAAAAGCGCATTCGATAGCCCTATTAAAGCCCTTTCTTACTAACTCTCTCAGATTTGTCCTAACGTCAAACTCAACGGTTTTGCCTACAGGGGGCAAAAACTGCAAAAATAACCAATTTTTTTAGGAAATATTTTTTTCTGCAATAACTTTTGACCCAAGCCTTGTACGAGCTTGCTTTTACCGGCATTGTGTTCCTCTCGTCAAGACGCATCGAATGAACTATAAGTTGACCTTGAAAGGTCAACTTGAAAATTTGACCTCAGGTCAAGGTCATGACCTGACCGGAAAGGGTCACGTTGCATAGCAGTCGATCCGTATCGTCGAGCTGAACACATCTAAGGCGTTTTCATCGCTCTAGCATGCCTCTATCAAAAGTTATTTGCGAAAAACTGTTAGATACCATTCGTGACCTAAGATGACCTCAGGGCATAAACAAGGGTCACGGACACCATTTTCATGTTCAGTGTGTATAAACCACTTGTAATCCGGTGTTTGGGAGTGTTTATAATGCACTGAAAACTTTTTTACCATTTCCTGAAGGGTAAACCCGCCATAGCATGGTAGCTTGACACACAGACGTTTTTTACCACCTTCTAGATGGTAAATTTTACTCTTTCATGAAGAGTAAACTCGCCAGGGAGGGGTAACATGACACACATACGTTTTTTACCATCTTCTGAATGGTAAACTCTTTTGATTTACTCTTGTCTAGAGTGTAACATTTTTTGGATTACACTCTTTGAAAGGGTAAATCTTTAACGGAACCCTTTTCTAGGGAGGAACGCATCATCTACTCTGTGCTTTGCCCTCCTACAGAGAGTATATTCTTCTGGCCTACCCTTTGTCACATGGTAATGTTTACTCTTTCCTTTAGTGTAAACCCCCCAGAGGATGGTCACAGACTCACAGACGCTTCCTTCAGAAGCTTCACGAAGCTTCTGTTAACCGGAGCTCACCAACTAAAAAACGTGCTTCAAGAGCAACAATGTATATTTGGCTTCCGTACAAACAATAAGAGGGGTACACTGCAGCCATGAACATTGTGAGACTCTTCAATTATTCATACGAATTTATACAAAGCGTTCAGCAATGCACAAGCGGTAAATAAACACCACGATACAACTTGAATGCAATTTGAATATGAATACAAGACATTCAGCGCCCTCATATTGGATTAGGCAGAGTGCACAATATTTGAAGTGAGCGACGGCGTTCCTGGGTGGTCGCCCGTCTGCGTGAGATAATGAGACTGGATCACTACAGTGCAAGGCTTTTTCAAAGTCACCAACACAATGCATAAACTTGTAGCATCACAACAAAATTAATGTACGTACTCACAGCACTAGGCCACGTGGCCGTGCACGGGGTCCTGTTGACCAGGTCAAATTAGCACCACTCAACGGCACGCAATGCTCTAGCACACCGGTACTTACAATAAAAGGTCTGCACAGAGGCTCTAATAGGCGATGAACAACACACAAGCACAATCACCAACGGTCACGTCGCGCCGCACCGACACTGCTCACATCCTCTCTCGGAGACCAACGGCCGAAAACTGACAGATGCGCGCGGCCTTCAAACCGCAAACGGCCGATCTCGTTTCTGATTGGCTGATTGATTCAATTTCAAATATCATCTTCACGAGGGTAAACAAGATCCACGCATGAAACGACTATCTGTACACGAGTTACGATACCCAGAAGGAAAGAGTTTTCGTGATGTTCTGGATCGCGAGAGTAATATTGATATTTACATGGTAATAATACTCTTCGCTGGCGAATAAGTTCATATTAACCACGTACGGTTACTATGCACATAATGGTAGCAACGAGTTACCCTTTCAATATACTCTTATCTTGCAGGTTTGATGAAAATGAACCCTGCAGGAGGTAGTAAAAAAGTTTTGAGTGTGTCTTTTGTCCAAAAGAGGCGCATTTCAATTTTCTCCCATTGACTTATAATGGGGAGGTCGCAAAATTGACCTGACCTTAGGTCATCGATATCAAAATTCTGAGATAAACATTTTGTACATGCTATTGCTCTAAGCAATCGCTAAAAGTTTCAAAGCGATCGGTCACTCGGTGTAGCTATGACAGACATTGAAACTTTTTATGAGGTGAGGTCACTTCAAGTGACCTGGTGACCTGACCTTGAATGACCTTGGTCTGAACTTTTTACAACATGTGTAGAATTGATGTATAATAAGGTGTACCAAAAACGGCGGCGCTCCGCGCCGCCGTTTTTGAGATATTTGCGAAAAACCACAAGGGGGTGTTCAAACACCCCCCAGCAGGGCGCGGGTTAATAGTGGAAAACGGCGAAATTTGACATGTCTATTCCTACATCAATTTCACACATGATGTGCAAGTTTGAAATCCCTAACTTTCTAGGTCAGGTCACCAGGTCACTTCGAATGACCCGACCTCCAATTACTTTTTTGCAACTTTGTCACCGCGTCAAAGCTGCAGTATATGACCAAGTCCTTTAAAAGTGGCATGATGTAATAAGATCATGATAGTTACAATTTGTAATTCGGAATTTTTGCATCGATGGCCTAAGGTCAGGTCAATTTCATGACCTCTTCATTATAGGTCAATAGCGGAAGGATCAATTGCCTGATCTTTTCACTAAAACGCGTTGTAATGACCAATTCTATCATAAATGACTTCAAATATGACCACCCTTGACTACTTTGATGCTTTGTTTGCCATTTGACAACTGTAAGGTCATGTGACCTCATCAAAGGTAACCAAATTTTACTAACAACTCCTTACAGAAAAGAGATATAGCCGCGCGAATATGCAGTCTCATTGTGTTCAGCTCGTCAAGGCGCATCGAATGATATATACATATGTACACGGTGTTGCAGATAAGTTGGGACAAATTTAGACTGCATCTAAAACGACTATTGTTTTTGAGTGATTAAGCTAATCTCTTGACATAATTATAGGCTAATGAACACTTGTCATGTTTATGTAAGTTGCGTGGTAATTTTGAATCGGCTGGTCACAGAACGTGGATTTAAGCAGACCACCATCAATTTTGCCGCCCCCACACGCATGCCAATACTCTACTAAGTTACGCTCCATCAAAGGTCTGAAAGTACTGTGTATTGAACAGACGTAACCTTGGAGGAAGAGTGGACATTGACTCATCCTCTTACGCTTATTGCATTGACACCGGCTGCTCCCATAGTTTCCCAGGGGGGTTAAACCTCGCCGGCACAGGCCATTTTGCGTCCTTCGACGGCACAAGGTGTTACGACCCCCCCCCCCTCGCGTTTGGCCCCTGATCAAGCTAGAGCTTCGCGGAAAAAAACGAGCGTGCTGCCCGTCACGAGAGGAAGCCGACGATACCCAATTTTGAGGGCCTAGTCATCCGTTGACCTTCCAGGTCAGGTCAATGACCAAAAAGTCGGGAAAATCGGGACCTATTAGAAAGTCGTAAAGTGTGGCTGCTATGGGGCTTTTCGGGATGCCGATCACCATTCACGAATATCGTGTTAGTGTTGATCACAGATTCCTTAACCCTCGCCGGCCGAGGGGGGGGGGAGATGTGCCGCCCCCCCCCCCATAGGGTTTTTTTCGCGATAGCTCCGAACACGCTGGCGATAGAGAGCTGAAACTTGGCATACCCGACCTTTGATTCAAGCTGGAGCTTTTGACACCAATTGCATTTTCGGTTCAGGTCAGGTCACTGACCTATGACGTCATAAGTGAACCTCTGTACGATCTTCAGATGTCGCAACTTCGCAACGCCCTCACAGCCATAGGAGCTTTCACAGGGAAATGAAACTTGCAGGATCTAGTATCCATTACGAGCTCACAACTTGTATATCTCGGATTTTTCCTAAACGTCATATGAGGTCAGGTCATTTTCGTGACCTCACCATTATAAGTAAATGGGGAAGAATGAAAACTGCTACTCTGACGCCGGGAACGATCTCCAACTATCTCAAGCACACAGAATCGTGATTTGCTGCACTCCTTGCAAGGTTAGATGCGTCACGTTTGCAATGTTGACCTTGCGTGACGTCATTTATGACGTCATCAAGGTCATATTAGTTTTTCGTCAATCACTCTTGATCAAATTGAGCTAGCGAGTCGGGGAAGCCACCAATGGACTCAGAAAGACCTGCCGAATCGAATGATATGCGACATGACCTCTTTCGACCAACTTCGTGACCTGGGGGCGCTGACCTGACCTTGCCCAATTTACCTGCAACACCCTGTATACAGGGTGGACCAAAAAGGATGGAAACATTTTGAACTCGCATGAAATATGTGTTATTGCAT